AAGGGAGCCCGGAGCCTAAGAGGATCATATTCAGCTCATGGCTGCAGTTCTCACATTTCACCGAGGAGGCAGATTCTGCCAAACTCAGCACTCTTAAATGCCTGCCTACCTGCCCCCATACCAGTAAATCCCTTAGCGCAGTAACTTTGGAATTGTCAAGATTTGTTGTAGATTTTTTGAAGTCCTTCCTCCCTGTCTTCTCCCCTGAACCTGCCCCGTAATAAGCAACCAGTAACCAGAACCAAGCCTCATTTACTTGATGTTCCTGAAGGGTTGACCTGTGTATTGTCATCAGTTCAGAGCATCTAAGCTTTAAAGAAAAACTGGGTGCAGGTTCAGATGCCCATGTTTTCTCACTTAAGAGTCACAGTATAGTATTGTGCCTGTCCCTGATGACAGAATAATCAGCTAGAAATTTGATAAAGAAGTTTCCAGAAGAAAGTCCAAAAGAAAAAGAATGATCAAAAAAGTACTGACTGCTTTTTTAGAACTAGCTTTTTCTACTATTGTCAGTTTTCTGCCTTCAGTGAAAATTTGACCTTGACTGAGGAGCAGAGAAGATCTAGTCTCGTGACATCAGAGCAGGGAACTTTACGGTATCTTCGGAGTCTGGCTAAAAAGCACCGCTGGCAAGGCTATCTGGAATAGACCTTTGTCTTCAACCTACCTTATATTGCTCATTTTAACACTTTCTCATGACATGGCTGACCATTTACCATATTTTCTTTTGCACACTTTTTGCAAGGTTTCACCAGAGACAACACTTCTAGCACCTTCTCCAAGGAGGCAGGTATTTCTCTGGGCACCTCCATGAAGTTACTCCTTGCTTCTTCATCTAAGCCTGATGTGGCACAACTAGCGCATGTTAGCCAGTGCCGTTTCTGCAGAAATGGCTCGGAACAGGCAGCTAACGTGGGAAATGGCCAAACAGTCAGACGCACACCTGGACAGGGTAATTGTCTCGGGGAACAGGTGAATGCCCAGCTCTACATTATCTCTAGAGAATTAGTGGTTACAATAAACCAACTGGCTGCAACTGTGCAAGGGGCAGTCAGTGCCCTGCAGCAACTTAATGAACTTTTTGACCATTCTCTGAGTCCTGGGAGGTCTCGATCAACAGCTGAGAGAGCTGGTAGCTCACTCCTCTAGGCCTTTTAGGTTAATTGTTCCTTATACTGTAGTGGCAAGACCTGGCATAGTGCCAGGAAAAGCAAGCTCTACCCACCAAGGAGGAGACAATGGAGTCATGACTTCCCTTTTCAACACCAGCGGCCATTTACATGTGCGTTCTAGGGCTGTCCATGAACTCTGTTACAGTGTCTGCTCGTTGTGATTCCCCATTCTGGGTGAATAAAGAGTTTTGTTTTAACACAGTTGTGGTCAGTCCTCTTCCTGAGTACGTGTAGACAAAGTTGTTTCTACCGCCATGATTTTCACAACCTGTCTGATATTTTTGCCCATGTGGCCATTAAAAAAAACTAGACTTATAGATGACAAGCTACCAGGTTTTAATTGTTTTCCTTGAATATGGGAGAAATAAGATAGGAAAAGGGAATTAGTACTCTTTCCCCAGATTGCAGGAGGTAGGCCTCTGAATAAAAGTCTGTGAAAAACCTCGTAGAGACTGGTAGTACTAAAAGGAACCTCCAAAATGTATTCCCTTCTCTGAGGATGTATCTCACTTTCTCTGTGGATGGACATCTGTACATCTTAATTGTTTCTAAAGGGAGAAAACCTATGCTGTCATTTAAAATGTTTAGTTATGTTTGCTCACTTGCTTTAATGTCAATCCTCACTTGCTTTAATGTCAATCCATCTTGCAGCAATTTGAGTATAAGTGCTACTATTATCTAAGTATGAATACCAACTGGTTTTCATTTTAAGCAATCCAACTTCTGTCACTTAACATGTTTTTCTCATCGTCGTTTCCGTTCATAAGTAATAGGAAGAGATTCAGTAATTTGTTAGTATTTTATTTTGGATCCCTAGAGAAGAAGAAGGAGCCCAGGTGGCTCAGTGGTTAAGCTGAAAGGTCAGTAGTTCAAATCCACCAACTGCCCCTTGGAAACCCTATGGGGCAGTTCTACCCTGTCCTGTAGGGTCACTGTGAGTCAGAATTGACTCAACGCACTGCATTTCATTTGGTTTGGGTTAGAGAAGAAGAACAGGAATATCTAGAAATTCTTACATGTGTTAGCTAGCAGAAGAATATAACATTTGTATCCAGAGCAAAGTTTTGGTGGATGGATTGGGTGAAGACTGGCAATTAATAAGCCCCAGGGAAGTGGTTTTTAAACCATTTGTCCACAGAGCCCTGGAGATTCCATGAAGGTGCCTCAGGGCTCAACGCAGAGAAAGGAGGGATTCAGTGATAGGGTCTTTGAGCCACTCCCTGTTGCCCTCAACCCAAGTAAGTGTAGCTATTGGACTTCTTGGGTTTTGTTTGCTTGTTTTTATTTCCATTTTCCTTGGGGAAGGAGGTGTCTACTGCTTTAAAAACAATTTTTTTAAGCTGATGGAAAAAACCACCATGAGCCAGATCAAAGGAGTAAATGCATACTAAGGTCTAAGGAAATCATGTACCTGGAACATGGAAGATATGTTGATGATAATAAGAGATAGAAATAAATCTGGATATTGACCTTGAAAAGAGTCACCTGTTGGAAAAAAATGTGCTTGCTAAATTAAACAGTTAAATCCAGTGGAGCTTTGGTTACACAAGGTCACAATGGTAGGAGTGGATTATTGCTGTCTCCTCATATGTAATTAGGATTTTTTCCTGGTCTGAAACCTTGAGAACAGAACATGTAAATTGACCTTTGGTGCAAAGGGGGAAAAAGGGCTATTTTAAAAAGAAAACTATTTGTAAAGAATGTCTGCCTTGAGCACTGTGCTGTTTTAAGGTCTATCTGGGATCAAATTGATAACAGCAGTCAGAAGGATTAGATAGGGACCTTAGGGGACAGTGAGTTTATGCTAATGGGGGAGGAACAACTCAGAAAAGGAGGGTGAGAATGACTGCACAGCTCGAAGAATATGATCAATGTCACTGAATTGTACATGTAGAAATTGCTGAATTGGTGTATGTTCTGCTGTGTATATTCTCAATAACAACAACAAAAATAAAATTAGTTTTTTTAAAAAAAGGAAAGCTATTTTACTAAAAATGGTAGGATCTCTGGGGCAATTTTTTAATCATATGTTGGCAGATAACCTATGTGCCCTCTCCTTAGGATGCCCTTGCCCATTTTTTCCTACCCAGAATCCCACTAAACAGCCCTGCTCAAGTCCTTCCTCCTCCAGAGAGATATCCCAGAACTCCTCACCTTATAGTCATCCTTCATTTTCCCTTTCCTTGTTCTCCCACAGCACTGTCTTTGTCCTTTGATCTAAGCACTTACGATAAACTTCTTCATTTACTAGTATCTGTTTCATCACCTCAAAATTGCTATCACCCTAAGGGCTTAGTCATCTTTCTCGTAGCATATCACAGTATTAGATGCCCAATGAATGTTAGTTGAATTGGATTTGAGAGCGCAATGTAAATATATATCTACCTAAAGAGAGAATACATAATCTAACAAGATTTCAGCTTTATTTGGACGTTGTCAGATACTGTACTAGAATTCCGATGACCCACTTGATGGAATTCAAATATGCAAAAGATCATTAAACATGAAGACAATTACAGTATGATCACTACTGTAACATAACCCTATCTTAGAGTGTCTGTAAAAGTACCCATGGCCACAGCACTCTGTACCTCGTCACTCTTCAGGGTCACCTCTCTGTTTAAGTGCCCTGGCTGGCTCTCCTATATTCCCCAGAGGCAAAGTTCCAGTAACATATTTTGGGGACTGGCTTGATGTTCTCCATGCTTCCTACCTCTTCCTCGTACCACATTGTACCTGTTCCACACTAGGTCACAAAGCCTGCCCAGCTTAACAGACATTACAGTAACAACACATGTATCCAATTGTAACCAAATTTATGATTAGTTTTGGTTCACTTAATGAAGGATTTGCAGTTAACCAGTGTGGCTCTGGCATGGCATGCCAATTTGAAAACCATTGTCTTAAAATATTCCTCTGACCTAGATGCCTTGTTTTATAACCTGAATCTAGCCATTTCTACTCTTCTGGGCTTTTTTGTTGTTTTTCTGTTTTATTTTTCAAGTTCTATATATTTTTTTCATAGTTCTATGTTGAGCTCAGCTGCTAACCAAACAGTCAGCAGTTCAAATCCACCATCCGCTCCTTGGAAATCCTATGGGGCAGTTCTACTCTGTCCTGTCGGGTTGCCATGAATCAGAATTGACTCAACAGCACCGGGTTTGGGTTTTGTTTCTGTTTTTGCTTTGTTTGTTTGGTTTTTTTTTTTTTTTGGTATGTTGCTTCCATTAACCATTGTAGTGAGGATTTTACCTGAATTCCCCAGCCTCTTGAGAGAGCAGTTCTTGACTAATTCCTAGGTCTTATTCCCTTGATTTTAGGGCAGCAAGACTCTTTTCATCCATCACGAGAGAACCCCAATGATCACCATTATCTGTCTCTTCTGTTCGGTGGCCTGTTAACCCTGCATCTTTCGTTCAGCTGGGATCCAGTTACTCTGGTTTTAACACCAAACTTTTGTTCTTGTGATTTCTATAATTGATCATAGATACAGTGGCTGTATATCCCCATTTTCCAAGGGCTGTTTCACTTTATGCCTGTTGTCTAGTGTGATTATTAATAGGGACCCTTTTTATTCCTCAAAGGTCCTGGTTTGGACAATAAGTTGCATGTTTACCCTAGCCGTAAAACAGAAGGTGTTTCTTGTCCCTGCCACAGGTATAGCCAGACAAGTACATACATAGATTGGAGAGCTTTTCCTTTCCATTTTCTCCAATTTGCTTGGCCTGTAATAATTTAAATACTCTTCTAGTTACTGTAATTTGGCTATATAGAGCTGACCATCACCGGAGTAACCTCTTGAAATGAATCTCATGTGTCTGTTGCCAGATTCCCCTCCTGGCTGAAGTTTATGGTCTAGAGGGAAACATTTTCAGACTTAAAATCAATGAAGAGTCTCCCCTGAAGCCCAGGTACGAAGTTCGCGATGTCCTCACAAGCAAGCTGAGCACTGTAAGGTAAGCGTGTGAACAAAGCATCTTAGATTTCCCTCAGTGTGTTTTTATAATGCCTTCAGTAGTAGATTTTGCATGTGCCTCATATTTTGTCTGTTCAAAGCTACGTTCATTTGGAGAATTACTTTTCAGTTACTTAGGCATCAATTTATTTATTTTATATGTTATACATTCTATTTTCTCTTCATCCACCATTTGACTCATCAGAACCTTTGATCTCTGCTCTCCTTCTCCTAAGGAAAGCAGTTTATCAGCCAGGCCATAGGAACAAGTAGAAGGAGAGCAACTTAATTTACCCACTCCGATTAGCTGCAGGCCTCCAGAGATCTGATACAATAGCCAGATTTCCATGTTTACAGTAATTTATACAGTCAGACTGACCCTTAATTACGGGTGGTCTCAGAAGTCTAACAGATGCAATTTTACTTAGAGTCAGAGATAATAATCAGTGTCTTGGTGAAAGTAAAATCTTGGGGGGCTAAAACATTTTTCAAATAATGCAAAATCTTCAGCATTTCTCACCACACTTTTCAGTGATATTGCAAACCAGTTTTATCTGTTGATTTGTTATTTTTTCATATTATTTCACTAAGGGAATATAAAATTATGCCAGATACTTTAATTTTCACTACATAATTGTCATGGTTTTATATAGATTATTTTTCCATGAAAATCTAATAAAAGGTTAATAGATTATGAGGGGAAATTAATCCAGTTTGTTAGAACAATCATAAATTTAAAATGTATCTATTCATTGAGCTGCTACTATATGCCAGTAACTTAGGAAACAAGAATTAAAAAGAGACTGTTCTCAACTCAAGAAAAAGACTAACAACACAATTAAAATATGGGCAGGAGACTTGACTAGACATTTTACCAAAGAAGATATTCAGATAGCCAATAAGCACATGAAAAGATGCTCAACAGCATCTTGCATTAAAAATGCAAATCAAAACCATAATGAGATATGACTTCACTTCTGCTAGGATGGTTATTATCAGAAAAATTAAAAACAGCAAGTGCTGGCAAATATGAGGAGAAATTGGAACCCTCAACCATCGTTGGTGGGATTGTAAAATGGTGCAGCTGCTACAGAACAGTTTGGCGGTTCCTCAAAAAATTAAACATAGAATTGACATATGACCCAGCAACTCCTCTCCTAGGTATAGACCCCAAACACTTGAAAACAGGGATGCAAACCTGTTGCCATGACATCAATTCCCCATAGGGTCTCCAAGGCTATAAATCTTTATGTAAGCAGACTGCCACATAGTTCTCCCGCAGCTGGTAGGTTCAAACTGCTGACCTTTCACAGCCGAATGCTTAACCACTGCACCACCAGCGCTCCTCGGGGTCACAAACAGATACTTGTGTACCAAAGTTCATTGCAGCTGTTCACAAGCGCCAGAAGGTGGAAACAACTCAAACATCCATCAACAGATGAATGGGTAAATAAAATGTGGTATATGCATACAGTGGACTGTTACTCAGCCATAAAGAGAAATAAAATTCTGATGCATGTTATGGCATGGATGAACCTTGAAAACATTATGCTGAGTGAAATAAGTCAGACACAAAACGACCAGTAGTTATGATCCTACTTGCATGAAATATCTAGAATGAGAAAATACAGAGACCAAAGTTTATTAGTGGTTACAAGAGGCAGGAGGGAGGGGAAAAGGGGGACTTACTGCTTAAAGGGCACTGAATTTCTGTTAGGTGTGATAAAAAAATTAGGAAACTGATAGTGATAACAGTTGCACAACACGGTGAATGTAATTAAGGTCGCTGCATTGTAAACGTAGAAATGGTTGAAACGGCATATCTTTTGTTTTATATATATATATAAACATAATTTTTCTTAAAAAAACACTACTCTCAAGGCTTTTGCAGATTGGCAAATGAGTCAAGGCATCTATATAACCACTTGGTGACTGTTATGGATTGAATTGTGTCCCCCCAAAAATGAGTGTCAATTTGGCCAGTCCATGATTCCCAGTATTGTGTGGTTGTCCTCCATTTTGTAATTTGATGTAATTATCCAATGTGTAATAAATCCTAACCTCTAGGATGTTAATGAGACAGGATTAGAGGCAGTTACGTTAATGAGACAGGACACAATCTACAGGATTAGGTTGTATCTTGAGTCAATCTCTTTTGAGATATAAAAGCGAGAAGCAAGGAGAGGAGAGGGACCTCATTACCACCAAGCAAGAAGAGCCAGGAGCAAATCGTGTCCTTTGGACCCAGGGTCCCTGTGCTGAGGAGCTCCTAGACCAGGGGAAGACTGATGTCAAGGAGTTCCCCCAGAGCCAACAGAGACAGAAAGCCTTCCCCTGGAGCTGGCACCCTGAATTCAGACGTCTAACCTCCTAAACTGTAAGAGAATAAATTTCTGTTTGTTGAAGCCATCCACTTGTGGTGTTTCTGTTATAGCAGCGCTAGATGACTAAGACAGAAATTTGGTACTGGGAATGGGGTGCTGCTCTAACAGATACCTAAAATGTGGAAGCAGTTTTGAAACTGCTGCAAGAGTTTTATGGTGCCTAATAGTAAAAGCCTAGATTTCCTTGAAGAGACTGTTGGTGGAATTATGGACATCAAAGGCGATTCTGGTGAGGGCTCAGAAGGAAGTGAGGAGAGCTGTAACACGGGAGATAGCTCAAATGTCTAGAAGCAGTGGCAAAGAATTGGCAGCAGCAGAACCAGGAGACCAGCATGAGGCGGCATGAGAGCCAACCCACTGAACGAGAGAGAGCTGAGTGCCTTAGGGCAAGAGACTTCCTGGTGGAACAGGGTGCCTCTGGGCTGTTACAGGCAGAGCTAAAGCGCTTTGTAACACTTGCCCAAACAGGGCAGAGGCTGGGCTGGACTAAGAGGCCCAAGGAGCTGAGAGGCCAAGGAACCAGGAATCAGAAGCTGAAGAGACAAGGAGCACAGGAAGCAGAGTTTCCCCAGTCTCAAAGGGTAGGGCCACAACCTCTGGGATCTCAAAGGGTGGAACCATGGCCTACTGGGTCTCAAAGGTGGGGCCACAGTCTCCTGGGTTTCAAAGAGATCTTTACCAACTCAGTTCCAGGGTATGGGGCTGCCTTTCATGAGTGCCAGGGGATGGCGCTGGATCCACTGCCCAAAACTGAGGGGGTGGGGCTGCCAAGCCCAAGGGGGCAGAAGAACGGTGCCTGCTGGGGCCTAGCAGGTAGGATCGCCACTCAGACCGACCAGGAGAATGGGGTTGCCCAAATCCGAAGAAGCAAAGTTGCTGTCCCGGTGGTCCTGGAAGGCAGAGCTGAAGCCCAGGGCTGAGGGGCCTCCACTCAGAATCCAGAAAGTGTGGCCAACACCCAGAGTCTGGAGGGCAGGGTCGTTGCCTAAATGGTCTCAGAGAACAAAGGGTTATCTTCAAGCCTTGAGAGCTAATGTAATGTGTACTGCTGACTTGCTTGGTGCCTGTTATCCCTTCTTTTCCTCCAGTTTCTCCCTTCTTTTCCTCCAGTTTCTCCCATTTGTAATGAAAATGTCTACCTTGTGCCTGTTCTACCATAGTACTTTGGAAGCAGATAACTTGTATTCTAGATTTCACAGATGAAGATAAATTTTGCCCCAGGATAGAATTTGGACTTGGAGTTGATTTAAGACTTTTGGGATGGTATGACGGGGTGAAAGTGTTTTACATGTGGTGAGAACATGAATTTGGGGGGGGCCAAAGGGTAGAATGTTGTGGATTGAATTGTGTCCCCCAAAAATGTGTGTCAACGTGACTAGGCCGTGATTCCCAATATTGTGTGGTTGTCCTCCATTCTGTGATCTGGTGTAATTTTTCTGTGTTGTAAATCCTAACCTCTGTGATGTTAATAGGAGCCCTGGAATGAGGCAGGATTAGAGGCAGTTATGTTAATGAGGCAGAACACAATCTACAGGATTAGGTTGTATCTTAAGTCAATCTCTTTTGAGATATAAAAGAGAGAAGCAAATAGAGACGAGAGGGACCTCATTACCACCAAGCAAGAAGAGCCAGGAGCAAATCGTGTCCTTTGGACCCAGGGTCCCTGTGCTGAGGAGCTCCTAGACCAGGGGAAGACTGATGTCAAGAACCTTCCCCCAGAGCCAACAGAGACAGAAAGCCTTCCCCTGGAGCTGGCACCCTGAATTTAGACGTCTAACCTGCTAAACTGTGAGAGAATAAATTTCTGTTTGTTGAAGCCATTCACTTGTGGTATTTCTGTTATAGCAGCACTAGATGACTAAGGAAGTCATGATATATTATTATTGTTTTAATATCCTGGAGGATTCACTTTACTAGTAGATCCCTTAGCATTTTTACATCTGTGTTCGTAAGTAAAATTAGTCTGCAATTTTCTTTTGCGTGCTACCTTTGCCATGTTTTGGAGTCAAAGTGATGTTAGCTTAGTGTGGTAAATATGGTATATTAGTTCTGCTTTTGTTCCAACCTCTTTCTAGAGGACCTTTGGCTACTGCGGTGACTAGAAAGCTAAAAACTACATTTCTCCATTTCTAGACTCCCTTGTAGCTAGGGTTTCTGATGTGACTCAGGTTCCACCAATCAGCTGCACTTATAGCAGTCTTTATTTCAGAACTCAGTTACCCATTTTCCAGTATGGATCTAGCAGCAGTAGAGTAGCTCTGTAGCCGATAGTTAGGGCAGTAGTTTCCTGATCCCCAAATTACAGCTAAGGGTGTGTGATCCTGGAGCCCAGCAGTTGCCACAGTGATTACCCAACTTCCTGATTCTATTGAAGATAGAAGTTCCATTATGCAGAAGTTACACAGTATTGCCAGGGACAGATTACCCAATAAGCAAGGTATGCACGGGCTTACTTTGCTTACTTACTAATCTGTAGTGCACGATTTCACGTGGGTTTTGATGGTTTGCTCTAGGAGTCCTTACTGCATGCCTGGCCAAGAACCTGCTACTCCAACCCTTCCCAGGATTTTGTAAGCTCCTAATTTTCTCCATATGGAGTCATTTATTGTCTGCTTAG